ACAAAAAGAGTATTAGCTAATTAAATCAATTGTAAATATACATAAACAGTAACGTAACTGATGATATAATTAGCGTTTCATCTACTAAATAAAATATGTACACACTGAAATGTGCTAAATAAATCGGAGCAGTATAGATAGATAAAAAATGTATAATTTGTTTACATAAAGTAACTAGCTAAGCCTACAAAAAGAGTATTAGCTAATTAAATCAATTGTAAATATACATAAACAGTAACGTAACTGATGATATAATTAGCGTTTCATCTACTAATATGTCTATCCTATCCCAACCGGCCTGACTACTCCTGGTATTGTTCGCAAGGCCTCATCGGTACTGGATATAGCAGATACAGTTTCGTTGACATATTACATTTTTCTTCACCTTTTAAAAGTTCGTACAATTAATACCTAACTATGCAATAAGAATGAGGAACAGCCAGACAAAAACCGTAAATAAAACTTAATTTTTTAAAGCAAGAAATCAAACGGTCAAGGTTTATAAAATATTTATATGAAAAATGTCAAAACTGACGTGACAATAAGTTATTGTGAATCAAATTTCTATGACATTCGGTACATTTATCGAGTTTAAATATCTATATAAATTAAAACTATATAGAAGACGTGTATACATGAGGGTTTTCAGAGAAATTTAGCACGAGAACCCGGATTATAAATAGTGGAATAAAACAATTCTCTGATGGTACTGCCATAAGTTTGAGGGCTTATAATGTCAATATTCTGGGTTTGATTCATGCTGTAGGTACAACACCGAATGAGTAGTCACGTGTTTAACAACAAACAAACAAGTGGTTTATTTTCGAAAACAAAATTACGGCATACACTTTTTCTAAATAAGTAAGCAATGGAATACTTGGAAACTAAGGATAAAATAATAACTTACGTTTGGAAATACATATTTCAACTAAATAAAGGTAAGATAAATGAAAAGCTTGTAAACTAAATATGGAATTGATAAACTACTGTTTGTTTGTTGTTAAGCGTCAAGCTACACAATGGGCTGTCTGGGTTTTGCCTACCGGGTATCAAAACCTAATTTTTAGTGTTATAAGCTCTCAGACTTCCTGCTGAACCACCGAGAACCAAGTTTCTGTTTAAATAACTCTCTGTATACAGTATCTTAACAAACAAGGAAAATGAGGAAGAGGGGTGTTATATTTCTTCATTAACAAAAAAATTAAAAATAATATGGCCATTCTTACTAAGAGAATGTAATGTTAAGCCTCTGTACTTGTGTTTTTTTTTTCTACAACAGGCAGTTGCCTTCAATTCCAGTTTACTCATCATGAATACTCTACCTAAACAATCTATTAAATAATGTTAAAGCATGTTTGCCTCTAATTCCAAATAAAAGTAAAATGAAATATGCCTCTTTTTACACATGGAAAAAATAATAAAGCATGTAAACTTAGGAGTAATCAAGAAGTTGGTCTTATTTTTCTAAGCCAAAAATATGTAGCTGTGGTAACATAATGAACAGAAAAAATACCATGTAATATGAAAAAACAAAACGACTCAGGAACGAAACTTAATTTTAAAATTAATTTTTAAAGATCATATATATATTTATGTATTGTGCTTTAGTGAACTGGAGTTAAAAACAGGAAAAAGATCTGGGAGTGAGGCGTGAAATAATAAATTAGTTTTAAAATAAAATTGAACAGTTTCTAGTCTACAGGCTAAGCCACAGTGACCTCCACCCCCCACTTCCCACTAAGGAAAGATTCAAAAATAATTCCTTATTTGTTATTAAGCTGTATTTATATGATCACTGAATCGATCTAATATTTAAACTTCCCACCATTATCAGTGCAAATACAGTTCAATAACGAAGAGTCTCCTGGTGAATCAGCGGTAAGTTCCGGACTTGCAACACAGAAATCCGGTGTTCGATTCTTCGCAGAGGAGAGAATGTTGGTATTCTATTGTATAGCTTTGCACTGAGAAAAAAGCAATGAATAACATTTATTTTGATACTTGTAGTTTAGTTTTTTCGTTATTTGGGAGTGTCGCTGTGTTCCAGAAATCCGGTGTTCAATTCCTCGCAGAGGACAGAATGCTGATAGTCTATTGTATAGCTTTGCACTAAGAAAACAGCAATAAATAAGAATTTACTATGATACTTGTAGTTTAGTTTTTTCGTTATTTGGGGGTGTCGCTGTGTTCCACCCAGTACTTTAGTATAATGAGGAATAAAACATTGGTAGATTAGGTAGCACAAAGTAAAGAAGAAAATAGAGCTAATTAATAAACAGGTGAAGTAGTGGGTGAGAAATATTAACTTGGCAAAAGAAAACAAAATCGTACGAACTGAAAACTGAGAAATGAGAAATAAATTATTTGAAGACAATTTTATCTTCTACAGAGCAACATAAAATCTATACACACATATATATATATATATATATATCAATATATTGTAACTTGAAAGAAAAATGAGAAAACATGCCAATAGAAATATAAACGTGGAAGAGCCTCTTACCAGGTGGGGTCAGTGAATTTAATTGCTTGCTTTGCCAAAACTGGATAGAGAATTTCAGGATTCCTTTCGTGGACGAGGTATTTATACACAGTATTATTCCAGGATATCAAGGTCACTCC